CTAAGAAATGCATTTACTATCTATCTGCTTGAGAAATGAATAAATAAAGAAAAATCAACTTAGCATTTAAAAATTAATTTAATTTTCATCTAATAAGGTAAACTTAAATAATGCCTTATGAGACATAATTTAATTTTAGTTAACACATTTAACTGAAATATAAATTATGTACACAACTTTATTTATTTTAAAAGCAGGTATAGTTCCTTTATTCAAATTTTAGATTACATATTTAATTAGGAAATGTGATACAACTGCACAAATCCTTTTAAATTAATTGAATAGAAATTAAAATGCAGATAAAGGTTTAATGTCACTTTATGCTTAATCAACTTTCTTTAAATGTCGGTCCTTACCAAGCATTTTGGTGAGCAGCATTCTGTTGTTGTGATCCTCGTAGTGGCACTTTTATCTCACCAAGGAAAATGTCAACATTCATTCCAGGACTATCATGCCACACCGATATTTGTAGTTCACACAGTTCACCTTCATTTTCTGGGCACACAGTATATGCTGAATTTCTGTCCTTATCTTGTTCTACATAACTATCAAACTCAAACAGTTCATTAAATTGAGGGGACACTGTTTTTTTCTTAACTTTAGTTCTTTTGCAAACCTTTTTACCATTGGTATACAACACAGACACTAACACATAGGGATCACAGGAACCATTTTTTAATGTCAGGTCAACACACTCAATCACTTTCACCATTAAACGTCGGTTACATGATGACTTGTTCTTATTGTGCACTGACTCAAATTTTATTTCGATGTTGGCTTTTCCTTGAACCTCTGAGTCAGCATCGACTGGTTTGATTGAAAACCAATGATCTTTGTTGTTATAAGATGCCAGTTCTTCCCTTTTTATTGCTACTTTTCCTATAATTTTGTCTTGCTTGAGGTGTCTATCTCTATCATGTAGATAGACTGACAGGTATCTAAACTTTCGAGGTACTTCAAATTGAAATTCTTCTCCAAAAAAAGGACTAAAAAGTAGAACTGATTAATATAAATACAATTTAGTAAAGGAAGAACTAAGTATTACTCTAAGGTTTTTTCTATTGTACAAGTCCTGTATATTTCTTCCTGATCAAGGGATAATGTACAATAGACATCTCGACAAAGTGTTGAACCATGACTTCTACACAGTAACTTTTTGGCTTCACCTGTAATTTATTAGTTTGTTTAATACAAAGACCTTATTTTAAAACCTTTGGAAATTTCTATTTTGTTTATAAATAACAAAAAAATTACCACCTGCATTCAAAACCTCAAAATGTCAAAAACTTGACATTGGTAGACATGAGTCATGTACGAAGTTTAAATAAATAAAATTATAATATTCAGTTGCATACTAAAATTAAATTGTCCCAATACCATTTTCATTAAAAATTAATGCCCTTACCTATTTTTATTTTCAAGCGTTCTTCTATTCTAACATTCAAATTAGTGTCCGCTTCAATAAATATAGATACCGAAAAAAAGTGCGTAATTAAAAACTAAGTAAATTTATCAAGAACATTAAAGATAATTCAAACAATTATGATTTTCTCATTGTAGTTAACAAAAAAGTAGTAGGGCTGTGCAAGTAAAAAAAAATGAAATAAATATGTTAAGTCACAATATAATACAGATAATATTAATGAGGCAGTATGTGAAACAATTTGTCATAATAATTTCTACCTACTGCTCTAGGGTTATTGAACTGGAAATACAATATTATTCTCGAAGTCATCTTTTCAAATTTGTAGTTGGTTAATTAACTTTGCCTTATAAAACTTATCGAGACGAAAATAGTAGTGAAGAATGTGCTGTATTTCCCAATGGGATTATAGAGAAAAAAGGCGAAGAGGAAAAGGAGGAGCAGAATAATGTGGGAGTTCATTCAAGAACAAGGTCAACACCTTCTTTAATTGTTTACTTAAACTTGCATTTGTTAAAATAAAATTGGATGATTCAATGAGTCTGGTTAATTATATAAAGGAAAATGAAAAATAACAGAATTATGAAAAACGGAAACGAAACACTCAGTATTTTTTCTACTTTTAATAAAGAATGACTTTCTTTTAATTCTAAGAAATCAACTTTCAATATCGAGATTCACTATTAAACAGGATGTGTGCAGTAAATAAAGAGATAAGAAAATTATGCCAAGTATTTCAAGTCATAAGAACATCATTTCTTGCTGTCTTGTTATAACTGTTTTCAAATTGGACATACTCTAAAAACAACGAGGTTGTTGCTTAGAGATAAAAAAGTCTGTTATACACGCTTTTGAAAAATCTTATTAAACAAAATAGAGTATGTACACACACAGACACACTTACGGGTACAAAACATACATATCAATTGGATATTAGATTGACACCTATTTGAACAAACAAAACGTATTTTTAAAATTCATGCGTTTTTATTCGTTAAAAAAACTGTTAAAAGAATTTAAAAACAAATTAATTTTGTTCCACAACCTTCTGCTAGAAAGGTTTTATTTTTTTGGTTTAAAAATTTTGAATATTAGGGATCTAAATAAAAAAGTAATAACTATGAACTTACGTTACTGTAGATATTTCCTTATCAGCTAAAGCTCTAATGATTGGAACAATTTCATTATGATGTAGAAATATTCTCACTAAGGGTTGAGCTACTTCAGTTTTGTTGGATACGATTTCTCCTAACACATAGACTGCACTTGATGCAATGGACTACACAAAGAAAACAATTATTTATTTATTAAATTAGGTCTTTAAGGGTCATTTATTTCATCGATACGACTAATAAAAGAAGGTCTATGTACCTTAGCTTGTAATGAAGATCGAATTAAACTACGTAAAGCATCATATTCTTGGGCAGGAAAAACATGGTCTGCTGTGTACTGTACATTTAAACGTAAATTACCAAGACTGTTGTCCACAGACAGTCGAGTTCCAGGGGGTGTGGAACACGATGTTGCGGGCCTATCTCTAGATGAACGAGGTTGAAGATAGTACCTAAAACAGTTAAAGATTATTCTAACTGTATTATTAAAAATATGAAGTTTTTAAGGATTAATGACCACAAACGACTTATTAAAGTTAATTTTGAACAATAAGTATATTGCTTTTTTGTTTTACACAATAAAATAAAACTTATTATTCTTTCTTTAGAACAGCAGGGAAAATTAAANATAAACTTTTTAAAGGATTTGCATTTACTATCTATCTGCTTGAGAAATGAATAAATAAAGAAAAATCAACTTAGCATTTAAAAATTAATTTAATTTTCATCTAATAAGGTAAACTTAAATAATGCCTTATGAGACATAATTTAATTTTAGTTAACACATTTAACTGAAATATAAATTATGTACACAACTTTATTTATTTTAAAAGCAGGTATAGTTCCTTTATTCAAATTTTAGATTACATATTTAATTAGGAAATGTGATACAACTGCACAAATCCTTTTAAATTAATTGAATAGAAATTAAAATGCAGATAAAGGTTTAATGTCACTTTATGCTTAATCAACTTTCTTTAAATGTCGGTCCTTACCAAGCATTTTGGTGAGCAGCATTCTGTTGTTGTGATCCTCGTAGTGGCACTTTTATCTCACCAAGGAAAATGTCAACATTCATTCCAGGACTATCATGCCACACCGATATTTGTAGTTCACACAGTTCACCTTCATTTTCTGGGCACACAGTATATGCTGAATTTCTGTCCTTATCTTGTTCTACATAACTATCAAACTCAAACAGTTCATTAAATTGAGGGGACACTGTTTTTTTCTTAACTTTAGTTCTTTTGCAAACCTTTTTACCATTGGTATACAACACAGACACTAACACATAGGGATCACAGGAACCATTTTTTAATGTCAGGTCAACACACTCAATCACTTTCACCATTAAACGTCGGTTACATGATGACTTGTTCTTATTGTGCACTGACTCAAATTTTATTTCGATGTTGGCTTTTCCTTGAACCTCTGAGTCAGCATCGACTGGTTTGATTGAAAACCAATGATCTTTGTTGTTATAAGATGCCAGTTCTTCCCTTTTTATTGCTACTTTTCCTATAATTTTGTCTTGCTTGAGGTGTCTATCTCTATCATGTAGATAGACTGACAGGTATCTAAACTTTCGAGGTACTTCAAATTGAAATTCTTCTCCAAAAAAAGGACTAAAAAGTAGAACTGATTAATATAAATACAATTTAGTAAAGGAAGAACTAAGTATTACTCTAAGGTTTTTTCTATTGTACAAGTCCTGTATATTTCTTCCTGATCAAGGGATAATGTACAATAGACATCTCGACAAAGTGTTGAACCATGACTTCTACACAGTAACTTTTTGGCTTCACCTGTAATTTATTAGTTTGTTTAATACAAAGACCTTATTTTAAAACCTTTGGAAATTTCTATTTTGTTTATAAATAACAAAAAAATTACCACCTGCATTCAAAACCTCAAAATGTCAAAAACTTGACATTGGTAGACATGAGTCATGTACGAAGTTTAAATAAATAAAATTATAATATTCAGTTGCATACTAAAATTAAATTGTCCCAATACCATTTTCATTAAAAATTAATGCCCTTACCTATTTTTATTTTCAAGCGTTCTTCTATTCTAACATTCAAATTAGTGTCCGCCATGATGTTCTCTCCATATCCTGAAAAAATGAATGAGATGGTGTGACATGAGTTTACAGCAGCATACAACCGACTCGACTCGTTGTTGGGCCTACGCGTTTGAGCATGGAGGCTGGAAGTTAAAAGGTAAGCCACTTCCTGAGTAATGTTAACCCCAATGTTAGAGTTGAAATCACACGAGCCATTTTATATCGTAAATAAAGAGAAATTTCAAGCAGCACCTATGTAGCAAACCTTGCTCCGAGCGGCAAGTACTGAACTACATGAACGACACAAACTTATGAATGAACGAGCACATTATGCGTACAACGCTGCATGTGGCCCAGTAAAATATTACGAGTACGCATTCTCCGTTTAATGAATGAACAGAAAAATCGTGTTCCCATAGGCGTTTGGGAAATTAACACGGTGTTATTGGTCCACAGGACCGTATTCAACTGAAAATGGTATATTTATGTTTCTTGTTTACTAAAAAGATAGTAAATTACAGGAAACATAAACGTAATATTAAATTGTAAATGCATTTTTTACTATGAAAAACTTCATAATGAGAAATTTGACGCAAATAAATATTTTTATTTGTTTATTACCTTGGTTTATTATTTTAAATATAAAATTATCTGAATCTGGTCCTCGTAAAATCTAATTCATTGATTACTAGCTACGCCAACGCACAGTGTAGTTTTTATTTGCATGGAAACATTAAAATTACTTTTAGAATTTTAAAATATGCTGTTTCATAAGAAGCATGCACAAATTTTGAAATTATATTGTCCAGTTGAAGGTTACCAATTTTAGAAAATTTCATTCATTAAACTAAAAATAGTTACAAAATTAAACATTATTTCGCAATATTTTTGAGCAGGAAACTGACGTTTAGTGGATAATCGCCAAGTTACAGTTAACACATTAAATATGCTTCGAAAATATTATTTATACATCCGAATAATTAAGAAGCATTTAAAAGAGATCCCAAAAATGTAAAATTTTAAAATAGTACTTTTAATAATTTACTGAAAAAAGTACATACTTGTAAAAGAAATGTAACAAAATAATTTAAATAAGAATAATATACCTAATATATTCAATTATTTTTCAAAAACAAACTCAGAATTTAAGATTTTCTAGAATTTTCTTTTTTGCCCAATTAGTAGGTACTACGTTATGGATAAAATT